TCTCTCTCTCTCTCTCTCTCTCTCTCTCTCTCTCTCTGTGGGCACCCTTTGAGTGCCTCAGACCGTCCTGAGGATTCAACCAGTTCAAAGAGTCCGGTACTTATTATCCTGTTTATCTAAGCCAGATAGATAGTCTGCAAAAGGATTAAATAACTGTACATAACAGTACATTAATAAACAGCGGGAATAAGTAGAGCTCTAGTGATGTGATGAAAAGGCATGATGACTCACTTGCACGCACCAAAACAGCACCCACCCTACAAAAAGCATGAATCCTTTCATGAGCAGACACTGTCCACTGCTTTGCACTGGAGGGGTGAGAGGGTTGGAAGCCCGATCTGAGCCAAACATCGCAAAGGCCTAACACGGTGGTGGAGGGTGAAGAATGGAGAAAAGACGATATGCATCCCACCAACTGACCCAGCTCAGTTGGTAGACCCACACCACTGAACTTTTGAAATACAGACCTGAGTTCGAACTCTGACCGAGCTCAGTTGGTAGACCCGCACCACTGTAACTTTTGAAATACACACCTGAGTTCGAACTCCACTGGAAGCACCAGATGAATCAAGTATTACAATTCTGAAATTACCATCGCAGGTGAGGTGCGGGGATGATGCATGTTGGTTGGGGGTGCATGAACAGGCGTTGGGGCGACAGAGTCCGTGCACAATGATGAGTAGAGCAGCGTGAACACTTGCCTCGGGCAACCTCTCCTTCTTGTGGAGCAGCTTAACATGTAGCAGAACATTCCTGCCCGCGGAAGGCCATCTCGGAACCGGGGTGTCGGCGTACGCATCTGCAACGATGGTGTACACAGTGTTTGCTCCTCTCCGGATTGCCGACAGTATTCTCGACTCCCTGTCAATCGGATGCCTTCGCATTGAAACAATCAACCAAGGCCATCGTAAGGAGTGCGGACGTGAGCCACAAATAAAATTATGACACTGGCTGAGAACAGAAGACGAAGCAGTTAAAAAAACGCAAAAAAAGGAAGCCCAAGTAGTTGATGCCAAGGATAATATTTTGCCCTTTGAAGAAGAGAAAGAAGAAAGGGGAAAAAGAGAAAAACAGTGGAAGAAAGGAAAGACACACTAAACACAAACCTGAATCATTTGCCCACAGTTCTCTACACTACCGCCTTCACCCGAATAGAAAGCACGGTCATTATAGCTGTATTTGGGGCAACTTTCAGTCCACATGCAGCGATGATGACCGGGCATTCTATTTGGGTCTTCGCCTGGTAGCTGTATTTCGGGCAACTTTCAGTCCACATGCCGCGATAATGACCGGACATTCTATTTGGGTGAAGACGGTAGCCTGAGGTGGCATTGATGTACCTCAGGCATCGATGTGGGACAAGTGCCACACACAATTCTCCACTTCTTTTTTGTCCCTCCCTACCACTCTCCCTGGTCCTCCTATGGCTGCATATCCCAGGTTTACATCCCTTCTCCAGCTGAAAAACCTGCTTTAACACTGTCTGCAAAGCAACAATATGAGCTGCCTGTCTGGACAAGGAGGTGCAAGGAAGGTGGAACTGCAGAGAGAGAGAGAGAGAGAGAGAGAGAGAGAGAGAGAGAGAGAGAGAGAGAGAGAGAGAGAGAGGCTTCCTAGCACACGACAAAGGAAGCAATCGAAACGCAAACCGGGCACAGAATGCGAATCCCGGAGAAACCTTATGAATCTGTCCTGCATAATCTCGCACTGCACTTTTGTCTTGTTGTAGAGATTGGTACGTACGTATCTGAGTACAGTATGTACATATTCACATCACATGTAGGTCCAACTGTAGACATGCCATACATGTACTGGTGCCCCTTGTGTACATGCGTACGTGCATGACCACGTACAGAGTGCGTACCGGGTTTAAAAAACAACAAAAATCAGAAAATGATAAAAAATCATAAATGATTACAAAATCTGAAAAAAAGGTGTGTTACGCAGCCTTGGAAGAAAAAACGACCTATGGGCTCAGCTCAGTTGGTACACCCACAAACTGTTGAAATGCAGACCTGAGTGTGAATTTTTTTGTTTTAATCCATTATGGAACCAGATGAACAAAATTCCTGGATTACCTGGGGCGGTCAATTGCACGTTGATATCTCGAGGGCGTCGCCCTTTTTTTTTTTTTTTTTTTTTTAATGGAGTACAACTTAGAATTCATAACCGGATCAGAGTGAGAACTTGAAAACCAAAAGGAAGAAACAAAAAGACAAAAAAATCATACGCTGCATACGTACATATTTTTTAGCGCATGTACGTGTACGTGTGCAAGGTGCCTACCTGAACAGTGTGTTTTCCATCCTCCTGTTCCTCCTCCTCCTCCTCCTCCTCCTCCTCCTCTTCTACCCTTTCCTCGTCCTCCTCCTTTGCTGCTGCTGTCTTAGAGGTTGATGTCGTCATTACAATCACCAATGTGACGTTTGTGTGTGGCACCCTTCCGCAGAAAAAAAAAACACGATTCGGTAACCTTTGTATGTTTTCATTGTTTTGACAGCGATTTTGCAACATAATAAAACTTTTTTTTTTTTTAATTAAATAATAAAACTCGTCCTTTTGAGTGAATCTCATATATACATATTACATGTATATTTTTACTATATATCGTCACAAATATATATATATCGTCATATATATATATTGTTATATTATAACTTATATATATATTTCCCTCAGAGTTAATCCTGCTCTCTGCAGGTTCCTGAGGACAGCTGGTGGGAGGCGGCCTCCCACTGCTCCCGGTACCCTTTTGACAGGTAGGCAAAAGCAGCAAAAGAGGACATGCAGCACACTTTCGTTTAAAAGGGGACTTACTTCCTGTACATTCTGAGCATGACCCCTGGACAAAATGATGGTTGCCCGTGCATGGGGATCAGCACCCTGGCTTGCAAATCCATGAACATAATTGTTGTGTTCCCATAATCCTGAAGAAGAAGATAGATTGGTAAACAAATCCATGACAAAATGACGACAGACGGGCAGCGGACAGATAGACACACCCGGCATCCACATATCAGAAGACCGAATAGAAAATCGATTTCCTCAAACATACACAGGTGGCTCACAATTGGCATTTTGGGTTTTCGCGAACTTTTCGGAACAATTTCACTGGGTCGCCACTTCAGCATACATTTGTGATATCTTCAATAACTGAAAGCTTGTGAAAAGGAATACAAAAAGAAGTAAGAACATAGGCTACCAGCCGGGCCTTCCGGGTCCCGGGTGGCCAGCCCGTGCAGGGACCAAGGATGGTCCCAGCAAAGCAAAAACAAAAAAAACAAAACAAAAAAAAATCCAAAAAAAACACCATGTTGCCTCAGGGTCACATCGAAATGCTTCACCAAATTTAAAATAAAAAATAGAATCTATTTTTTTTTTTTTTTAATTTTTTTTAATTTTGTTTGGCCCGGCCAGGCAAGTGACCCCGGGCCACTCTGGTAGCCTAGGAGATAAAGTGATAATTATAATACTATAATAATAGTTTTGTAATGATCTGAAATTTCGAGACGAGGAGCTCACAGCACATCAAGCATGAAACTCACAAATCCCAATGAATGGAAATCGCAAAGAGAGAGAGAAACATCACAGACCAAAAATACGCAAGAAAGACAATCGCAAAGAGAGAGCAAAGTAGCAGGGTAATCAATGCTGGCAGGAATCCCCCACAAATTTTTCGGATGTGCTCCAAATTCAGTCTGTATGAGGGACGCTGGACCCGTTTTCCAGCAGGTGATGCTCCCCACCAATAGATGGAGCCTCGCCCCGGGTGCTAGTGGTGACTGCTCTTATCAGCACCGCTAACACTGGTGGTGGTGAGTTCAAATTAAAAAAAAAAAAAAAAAAACACGACCAACCAGCAGGCATCAACCTATCCTCACGGAAACATCAACAGATACGACCAGGTGACTCTCTCTCTCTCTCTCTCTCTCTCTCTCTCTCTCTCTCTCTCTCTCTCTCTCTCTCTCCAGGATGCAAAATCCGTCTCCACCGACTCTCCAACGCAAAACTATACTCAATCTGGCCTTCGGAAGCAAAGCGCTGTTCCTTCCCTCACATCAACAGCAACAGATACGACCAGGTAACTCTCCCTCTCTCCCTCCCCCTGTGCGCCCCCACCCCCCTCCTTCCCCTCTCTCTCTCTCTCTATAAAAAAAAAAGAGAACGCATGATGATATGGTCTCTCCCTCATGCCTCACTCTCTCATGCTAAGGTATGGTATTGTGCAAGTGCACCTGCTAGTCTAGCTATGAGTACCATCCCTCTCTCACCCTCTGTCTCCCTTCTATCTGCCTTTTTCCAGCGCTCAAGCACAGAACTCCAGCCTTCAACAGTGCAAGGACGAACAGAAAACCGCGCTGAGGCTGGTTGGTCTTTACGCGTTGACTCGGCTGGGCCTGCCTTCAGTTATCTCCCTGAATGGCTGAGATTCTCTGGTTTTTGTGCAGCCCAGATTTTGTCGCGGCCAGTGTGTGCCTTCTCCCGGTGGGCTTCGGATGCTTCCGGGAACAGATTCTGAGCGTCCGGATCTGTGAAAGCTGCGGCTGCGATTTACTTGTGGAAACATTTTGAATGTTGCACTGCTATACCCAGCCGGGTCCGGCTGTTGTCTTTCCTAACGCCTTTTCGACCTCGAACCCCGGGTCGACCGGCCTAAGGTCTTCTCGGGGACTGTCTAGAGGCTCTAGGACAGACTTTGGACCTTCAAACTTCAGCGTAGCCAAAAGCTACGCGACCTAAAGCTGACTCTTGACCGTAGAACTTCGGATTCGCCCAAAAAAGCGACCTCGCTGAGACTCTGCTGTGCTGGTTTTCACATCTGTTCCTTGCAGTTGGGATAACCCTAGCAATCCGAACACATCGAAAACCGGAAATTGAAAACTGTCGAAAATAATAATATTCTAATATCTGAATTCCATCCTTCACAGTTCCACACGGTTATGAATACTAGTGAGTCAGTAGTGACCAGTATTCATTCAGGCCTGACAACATTTCAAGCTCAACAAGTTCATTCCTGGTCCACGGATGGTGGTCCTAGGTCAGAAACGGGCCAAACCATTGTGTACCGGTGGGCAAGTACGCCTTCTAATCAAAAGATCTTAAGAGAGATTTTGATGAAAACACTGACCTCTACTGAAAACGGTGGTCACTCACTATCTATTGAAAATCCGAAGAAGAAGAAGAAGAAGAAAGAAGAAGAAGAAGAAGAAGAAGAAGAAGAAGAAGAAGAAGAAGAACTATTGAGAATCCGAAGAAGAAGAAGAAGAAGAAGAAGAAGAAGAAGAAGAAGAAGAAGAAGAAGAAGAAGAAGAAGAAGAAGGATCTCACCTCCATATCCCCCCCACTGCGGTCATCCAACAAAATTGTTCCTTCCCTGCAGAAGAAGTAGAGAGGAGCAAACAAATAGTGACACCAACAAACAATTTCCCGAGTTCAAATCCAGATGCAACCAATTGAGCGAAATTCCTGAGTTACCTAGGGTCAGTCTGTTTCACGATGATACTTCAAGGCCGTCGCCTGTTTTCAGAAACGAAAAAGGGAGAAAAAAATAAATAAAAAAAATAAAAAAAATCTGCAATCTCTCCAGACCAGTCCCAAGTATGTGCACAAGAGCCCGCAACCTTAAAGAAATGAAACACACTCTAAGTGGACAAACAGACATATTCCTTAAGCTCACAGGATACTTTGTCGATGCACAAGTTAGGGAGAAACCATATCACTGCTGAGGCTTAAAGAAATGAAAAACATGTGCCAAGTGTTTCATTCATGCGTGTTTCATTTGGCCATAATGACAAAAGCTTGCAATCAGGGATATCCAAACAACTTAAACAAGCCATTCAGGAGTGCATGTATCGTCAAACAGACATTAACAGAGTATATATATATATCGTCAAATATATATATATTGTCACATAACTACAAACTAAAAGAGCGCACTTTGCAGAACAAAGAATAAAAGCAAAAACGGGCACAGTGATAACATGCAAAAATAAAAATAAAAATAAAAAGAAAAAACAAGGGCAGATTGAAACCATTAAATTTCTCATTCTTCTTTGAACTCCACCTCCACCTTCTTTGAACTCCACCTCCACTGTGCCTCTCACGTGC